ATGTTATGTCAGTCTGTTTCTCTCCTGATGGAAATACATTAGCTTCTGGTAGTAGTGATAACTCAATCCGTCTATGGGATGTCAATACAGGATAATCAGACAAATTTGATGGTCACACTTGGTCTGTCTTATCAGTCTGTTTCTCTCGTGATGGAAATACATTAGCTTCTGGTGGTAGTGATTAGTTTATCTGTTTATGGGATTTAAAGACAGTTTATGAAAATAAATCCTCTGTTAAAAACTACAAAGATATACTTGCATAATTTTAGATTCCACTCCAATAACATAGCCATATTTCCGAAGGTAGTATTTATCTCCTACCATATTTTTAGCCTCCAATTACATCACTACATTCCTTATATCCTAATCCGCTATATTCTAAGCATAAGGAGCTCTAGTCCTCAAAGGAGAATTCATTAATCATCAAGGCACTGATTTGAGACCTTTATTGAAATCCAAAGGTAGCTGCATGATTATTCATTTAAAATATTATAATTTTCATTAGAATAAATTTCTAATTAATTTTTTTTAATTTTCTCTTAATTAGGTTCACTCTTCATCTTCACTTCTTAAGCTAAATAAGGAAGTATTTTTTTAAGTTTTATTACTTTTCAGTCATTTATAGGAATTAATTTTTTATTATCGAAAAAAGGTTATCAATTAATATAAGATGATACTACTTTAAATTAATAATCTAAACTCAAAACATTAAATTGAATGAAGAAATATAAATAAAGATTGATATATTTACTTAAAGAAAACTTAATTAACACAAAATTCTTTTATAATAGATTTAGGATATTATATGATAGATTTACTTAATTTATAATTATTTACAAAAGGGATTAGATGATATTTCATATTGAAAGTAATATACCAATCACCTTTGATTATTATTTTTCAATTGATATGAAAAGTATTAGATTTTATAAACTGAAAAGATTAATTAATCAGCAAGAAATACGATATCATTAAAAGTATTAAGATTTACGGAGATAATTATATCTTCCCTAACTTGAAATTTTTACATAATTCAAATAATAAACATTTATAAATCACTGAGATTATGTATAATCATTATAATCTTCAATAGGATTTGCATGAAATTAATAAATATCTAGACAAAAAAATAATATCCCTCTTCATTTTTTAGCCTTTAAAACTGTATCTATTTTTGATGAACTCATCATCTAGTTAAATTTCACAATTAAATTTATTTTAAATAATTACCAAGATTTGTACTGAATTAGACATATTCATATTAAACAATCCCAAAATAACAAAATTTTTCTTCTCCATAAAAATTAGATTAAACCCCTAAAATGAATAGAATGATAATTTTTTAAAACTAACTAAATATATAAAAAGGAAGAAATAAATGTTATTAATCATTGGCAACACACTATCAAATATGTGATTATTTTTGAATATTACATAATTATTCACAAATATAGTAAATATAAAATTTGTTAATAAGAATTAAAGTTTATCAAAAAATTTTAAAATATAATACTTTAATAAATTTTTTTAATCTCTTAGACTTAAGGGTTTAAAGTCTCTCTAAAAGGTAAAATTGCCTTTTTAGACAAACTTAGATTGGTATTATAAGACCCATCTTCAGCATTTCATGATTCATGGTCGTTATGAAAAAAGAAATACTCTCTAATTAAACCTTTTTTTCTTTATATCTTTAATCAAAAGAATGATTATTTTGCCATTAGAAAGATGGATATTTGGTATCATGAGATAAACAGACAGACAAGCTTTCATTACTATGAGCATCTAATTTGGCTTTTTATTATCCTTTTTTGACATCCCATAGACGGATAGAATTATCATAACTACCAGAAGCTAATGTATTTCCATCAGGAGATAAGGAGGAATAAAAATTTAAAGGATTACTTTCAACATCACAAATTTGATTTTTTACATTTTTAACCAATAGATAAAAATCCTCTAAACCCCCAATAATAACAACTTATTTGCATTTGTTTTCCAATTTTTTGCTCATACTCTTATTTTTACTATTTTTCAATATATACAATAAAAATTAAAAAATTGCTAAAATCGCGAGTTTATACATACTTGCTTCAACACCAACCCTACTAAAAAATTTAGGTATTTTTTTCTTCTACATTACATTGTACATTGTTTGATACTTAAAACCAAAAAAAAAACCAGATATTTAAGAGGATGATCTCAAATAACTTTAATATTCATTAAAATATAGATGATAATATTATTTATTTTTCGATTACAATTATAGATTTGTAATTTGAAAGGACAATGATAGATTAATAAATACGTGAATTAACAGAAAAAATAAATACACTTAATGTAATTGAAAATAAATTATAAAACCTTATTAATTTTTATATTTATTTGATTCACATTTACGTCATATTATAATATTTATGTCATTAAATATCTAATTAGATTAATATATATTTAAAATGGAGAAAATCTTTTTAACAGTCGGTTTTATGATTTTATTGGGAGCCAGCCTCTACTTGAACAACACATAAGAAGTATCAGATGAAATAGATACAGGCAATCTTTATACAAATTGGAAGATGAAATATAACAAGAGATATACAAACCAAAGAGATGAGATGTACAGATACAAGGTTTTCACTGACAACCTTAACTTCATCAGAGCTTTCTAAGAAAGTCGAAAAGAAACTACATACACTATGGAATTGAATCAATTTGCTGATATGAGCTAATAAGAATTTGCTTAGACCTATTTAAGTCTTAGAGTTCGAAAGACATCCAAAATCAATGCTGCCAATGATAACTTCTAGTACAAGGGTGCAGAAGTCGATTGGACCACTGATAAAAAGATTAAATACCCTGCTGTCAAGAACTAAGGATCATGTGGTTCATCATGGGCATTTTCTGCAGTTGGTACACTTGAAATCAACTCTGATATTGAACTCAACAAGAGATATGTCTTGTCTGAATAAGATCTAGTTGACTGCACAAGACCATATGGCAATTAAGGATGCAAAGGCGGTTGGGTGGATTTAGCTTATCATTATGTTCTTGACTATGGTTTGACTGAAGCTAAAGATTATCCATACACTGGTAAGGATGAAGAATGCCAGTCCTCAGCTAATAGACCATTCTAACATCTTGCAGGATACTATCTTTATGAAACATGCAGTTAATTAGCTGATGCAATCTAAAAAAGAACAGTCGCTATTGCAGTTGATGCCAATTCTTGGTAGTTCTACGGTAATTATTTAAATTTATTTTTTTAGGAAGTGGTGTCCTTTCAGAATGTACTAAAGACTTAAATCACGCAGCCGTCCTTGTTGGTGTCTCAGCTGATGGTGTTTGGAAGATCAGAAACTCATGGGGAGCTACTTGGGGAGAAGCTGGTCACATCAGACTTACTGAAGGTGATACTTGTGGTATATGTGCTGATCCATCTTCCCCAGTATTATAATGAAGATCATTCATACATCAATTTATCAACAATATTAGTTATTTTAGAAACTATTTACTTAATTGAATAATTATACAGAAAATTAATCAGTTTTTTTAATATTTATTAATGGGTTGCGGATCTGCTAAACTAGCGAATGCTAAGAAACAGAATTAATTCATCCAAAAATCATTCAAGAAACTAGTTCAATTTCAGAATTTTAAACTGAAACTATCAAGTTATACAGATGAGGTTATTCTACTACAATAAACAAATAGCAAACTATCTAATTAAGAATGAGAAGTATGTCTAGGCTACGCAGATTTTGCTGATACTATTTACAGTAAGGGTATTTTAATCATATTCCAAGGTTATGTTTTAGCAAGATTAAAAGAAAGAATCAAATATTTTGATATGGCGATAAATTAAGACTCAAATCAGAAGCATTATTATGTTAATAAAGCAACTACTTTATCTGATGTAAAATAATATGATAATGCTTTGGAAAAAATATAATTTGCTCTCAAAAATTGATTTTCAATATCTTGATGTATATTAAGTATTTAATATTAATCATTTACATTAATAAGTAGATATATATATATTTGCTAATCAAAACAATATGAAAAGGTGGAAAAAGCCTGTGATTAAGTTTTTATATTAGATAGTTAAAACTAATATGCATTAAATTGCTAATAAGAAATCCCAAAGAAAATATCTTAAAAATAACCACAGGTCTCATAGGTGTAAATTTCAGTATAGGATTAATTTAAAGAAGGTTTAATCAAATCCTAAGATTATAGTGCAGAAGTTGCAAGTAGAATAACAGAACACTTAAGCTTTGAGTCTCTTAAATTTAGTTTTGGAAAAAGACCCTTAATTTATAAGCCTTAAAATTACAAGCTTAAATATAAATTGAATAAAAATAATAAGCAAGTTGTAAGGTAACACTGGATTAAATTCTTACCATTTAATAGATAGAATTTAAGAAGCATCAGAAATTTATCAATAATTATCATCATAATCAAGCAAGGAAGATTCAACAATATTAATTATTAGTTACTAAATTTATATATATAGTGAGGTTACTATAAGTCCAAAAAAATATGATGATGCCATCATTTGTTTTATGATGGATTAAATAAATTCCATTAAAACTTAGAAATCTTTAATTTGTTAGTATAAATATATAAAAATACAAAATGAGAATAAAAACACTTGAAATATACGATAAAATATTGTTCATTGAAACAACCAATGAATAATACTGATATGTTAAAAATGTTTTATAGATTGAATAATTCTGGAACCAGATGGGTTAGAAACTATTTCATATTATCTTTATAGAAGAAAAGAAAGCATCTATATTGATATATTCTATATTATTAATAATAAGCAGAAAGAGTATGAATTTTACAAAGAAATTAAAAAAATATAATAAAGATTCTTAAACAATCAAGGTCTCTTCTAATTTTTAATGATAAAATTTTGCTTTTTTAAATTAAATTAAATGAATTAAAAAAAAGTATAACATTTGAAAAACTGTGTATATATTGGTATAAGACGATTTGTTTGTTTGTTATTCTAAGAATATTGATTTATGATTATAAGATTTAGCTATTTAAAATAATTTCAGAATTATTAGAAGAAAAAAAATATAAATAAGTTTGTTTACAAATCAAAAATAATCTACTAGAGCACAGAAAATATTTTCTGGTAGTTAATCTTAATTGTTCATTTAAACTAGCCCTTATTACATTTTCACATAATAAATTTAATTTTTGAGTTTTTATTAGTATACAAAATTGCTTTGAAATAATCTAATAAGTATTAATATATTGAATAGTTTCATTCAAGCATCATTGTCACCTAATATTTTAATGTTTTGAAAAACCATAATCAAATAAAGTTTGAATTAGTAAAAGCTCAAGAAAGAAAAACAATGTAATACTATAAGATGATTGGCAATTATCACATGACCAAAGTGAAACTATTTATTTTATTTTTTTTGTCTACACCTAATATTTCTGCTTTCTTATCAGTCTTGATTAAATTATTTTTTCTTTCCTCAATAAATGTTAGAGTACTTAATTTAATTTAACTCAGTAAAACACTAAAGAATTTTTATATCAATGCCTTCATCATGAAAGATTTTTGATATAATTTTTTTTATTTTTTTAATATCAATCAAAAAAAAATACTAATTTACAAAAGTAGATATTGATAAATAATAATGCTATAAATTACTTAATATAATTTTCATATACTAATTCAATCCTCTACTATCATTTAATAAAAATTACAATATTAAAATGAACATACATTTATTAATAATTATACTTGGAATTAATTTCCAAAATATACAAAGATTTCAAACCAAAAATGATCAATCATGAAAAGTATGTTGACTCGAAATAAATGATGATAATTATTTTAAACATGAATGTCTTGAGAATATTATGTTTTTATTTACTTAAATAGTATTTTTACTAGAAATACCTTTGTACTTATCTTTTTAAATTTATATTCTCTAACCTTATTCTAATTAATTTAATGTATATTAAAAAAGTCAACCAAATAATGTGATACTAAGTTTTTTATTCTATTTTTATTAAAATTTAAAACTTACTTAATTGTATATTAAAATATTCTTTTAGTTTTCATTAATTTTGTTCAATTAATTATTTGGACTAGATTGAATATTTTATGAATTCTTAAACTATTATTTAATCCATATGTATATAGTATAATCTTTAAACTCATTTCATCAAGATAATAAAATAATTATTAATGGTGGTCCTTGAAAATCTTAGTTAATTAAAATTAAATTTTATTATTATTTTTTCATATCAATTTTAACTTATAAATATCTCACACAGTCAAAATGTAAAGTTAGATATTTAGTATTTTGGAAATAAGATTAAAAGGGATAATATTTAAACTTTGTTGAAATATAAAATCAAAAAGATTTAAGTAGAGATGCCTGGCAAATATTTATGATCATAATAACTATTATTTATTAATTTGATTATTCATCTTTTAATCAACACAATATATGTGACATCTATATATAAACTCTAACATAAAAGTGTAAGATAATATAAATATTAAATATAAAATAATTAATTTTTATATTATAAGAATCAAATTTATTAGTTTTCTTGATATTAATTTATTTAGAATTGATTAGTAATATCATCCCATGTTACCATGAATTCTCCATTATCAGTCATCCTAACCAAACATTTATTCTAAAATTGATTGATTATCTTTAGTGTAATAAATTAATTAGCCTATTAATTATACTCATAAATTAAAATTCTATTTGATATATAAGATTAAAAAAAATTAATTATTAGATAATAAACATAATCTAGGCATCGGTTTAGTTATGAAGAAGGAAGAAGTGGAATTAATAATATTTTGAATACAATTTATTGTGGAAATGGAGGTAGCAATAAAAGAACAGATGTAATTTAGTTAGAAAAACCTCACTTGCTGAAAACATCATTTTATATGACTTTAGTAGGAGATTTGTTCTATTATATTGATGGCCAAATCTTATAGATGGAGTTTCAATATTGCCATAACAGTGATATCTAATATTTTATAAGTATGGAAATTTTATACATTAAAATATGTCATAATAGTTGCTTGAGTTGTTTTGGCCCTTCAGAAACTTATTGCATAACCTGTCCAGATGAAGAATCTAACAAAACGAGTTTAAAATCCAGGTCAAAGTAGCTGTGGATGTAGAGCCTCTTACTCAGAGAATGAAAATACTCAATGTTTTAGTAATGAAATCAATATTACTTTTAGAAAGCCTATAATACTTTTTAGATATTACTATTTTGGAAAGTGAAGATTCTGATTCATTTGCCTGTGGTTTAGGTTAGTTTTATATCTAGTTTGGGTAAGTAATATATTGTGATGATTGTCCAGGCAATAAGGAGCCAGATTTTATTAATAAAAGGAAATTATTATGTGTTGAATTAATAGAAAACATGGTATTCAAATCCAATTTGCACAGAAGATTATGAATAACTAATTTAAAGCTCAACAAGCGCTTATTAAAAGTAAGCCAGAAAACCAATAGACTATGAATATTTCTTAATAAATTTCAATTCTAATATGGATAAAATAGAGATCGAGATTTGTTCAGGTTGCTTAGGTGAAACAAGGGCAAATTCTGATTATATTGTGAGACTAAATTTTGAGAAAGAAATAAAAGTTCAATGCGAAACATGTTATTAAATTATTAATGGAGAATGCATAAATATCTACAGTAATTGCGATTCTTGTGATTCAGATTAATGTATATCTTGCTCATAAGGCTACACTCTCTATTAAAATTATTGTTACAATGTCTCACTATATGTCTTCAGGATTGTATATATAATGGATAGAAATTAGGTTGTTTAAAATGTGAAATAAGTTGTTACTTAGATACTGTAAATAATGAATGACTGTAATGAGGGGCTAATTGTGTTATATTTTAACCAGGAATATCAATAGATGGAGATTTCGTTTAAATGTAGTGTTTTAAATGTATTGATAACAAAGAATTTTTTATTGACACTGATCATATTCATTGCAAACCAAAAACTATGCCTCATTGCATTTATTAATATCATCAATTCTATCATCGTTCTGTTGATTAGAATGATATACAGTACTTTGTATTTTTTATTCAACTTAGAAAATGAGTACATAATAAGGTTAATCACATAAGAATGTCTGATTTGATAATAACTTGTTCGTTATTTTTACAAAAATATAATTAATATTATTTAATATGATGAATTCATAATAATAATATAATATAATAATAAACAAGTTGGGATTACAATTTTTCTAAGCCTTCTTCTTATTATTAGACCAGATGCGCACTATGTGAAAAAGGTTATCTGTATAACTTTTATGAATATGATTGGGGCAAAGATAAATGTATTTTAGAGTCAGAATTTACTGATTTAGAAATCCCTAAATTTAATTCTCTTCAAATTGCTCCAGAACCTGGAGCTCTGGGGTAGATTGTGAAGATTATCATGTCTCTAGGGATTAGACTGCAACTGTAGATGAAAAAGTGGATAATGACACCATTGTGTAATTTAGATAGAAAGGTAAAAAAAAGATCAGATGCAACACCTTAATACGAGAAAGATTTATTATCAGAATGCTCTAAAAGAAATCGCAGATCAAATATATCAAAAATAATGGTTGGTTTAATGAATACTGCATATTGTACAATTAGGGTATTATGCTGAATTTCAATCAGGTTAATGTTACTTATCTTAGGCGAAGTTATATTACAGAACATGTAAAATATAATATAAAGTTTATAAAGATGGATGGAAATGGGAAATCAGGGCATATTACCGTGCAAGAACTTGCGCAGAATAATGATTTAGCAATTTTCATTTTAAGTGTGCCACAGCTAATGTAGATGAGTATGAAGTACTTTCTAGATCGTGTGAAGAAAGATATGATAATGAAAAATGCATTCCAAAATGCAGTTGTTCCAAATGTATTATACAAAATGATCCATATGTTTGTGTAAAATGTTCCACATCTTTAATACATACCAATTAACTTAATCAACAATCAATGCACAGACTGCCATGCTAAATGTGTCTTATGTAGAGAACTAAATTATGATGAAAATAGGTAAATCAACCCTTACTTTAATTCGGAATATAGTCAAATTGCTATTTATTCAAAATCCTGTATTAAGGGTTATGAACTAAATAAAACCTTAATGAAGTTTCAGTATATCTATCCCTACCCAATCTTAAATACATAAATTTTATGTATTCATAGTTAGAACTATAATCTACAATATATTGCAGTTTAAATTCATTTGATTACGACTTGGATTTTTAATTGATAAAAATGCATTTCGATAACAAAAATATGGCTTTATCTCACTTATTTTCAGAAGCTCATTACTCTATTGAAGCTGAGAAGCTTTTTGACAAGCTTGATAAGAAATCTCCAAATCAGCTTACATGTTCTGAATTTTAAATGCTATAATCTTCAAAGAAATGTCTTTATTTTTAATACAGTTCTTACTTTACAGAGTTTGCGAGAATGGAATTAGGAAATATTCTAACTTATTTAAAAAAGATGTTATAATATAATCTAGATTATCTATAAATAGAATTATTATTCTAAGCCACAAGTTAATTAAATAATACTATTTTAACAGTGAATTATATATACTTTATATAAATTCAGTTGAGTGGCCCAACAGTATAATTTTATAACTTCTATATTTTCTGCTAAAATCTTAATTGCAAGCTATATTTAGAAATTGTTTTGAATGGAGATATAAAAAAGAAGACCTTTATTCAAGGCTTCCTTTATCTCTAAGATTTCATTAAGATCACAATCAAAGATTTTTTTGTCATCAAATCAAGCTCTATTGATATCTCACAACTTAATAGAGTTAGTTTGAATCTAGAGGATTTCATAATTTAGGATTCAGATTCAGATATTTATAGATTTTAAATCTTCATCTAAGATCCTAAAAATATCAATATTAATAATTTTTAACATTCAAAAATAATACTTGCGGATAATTTGGTTTTGTTGTCATGTTATCTTTGGATTCAAAATCTGTTCAAATATAGAATAAAAATAGAATTTTATAATCTGTTTAGATTATTGGTTATATCAATATTTTAAACTAAAATACTGCAATATAGTCTGGAGAGGCTATCTTCTCTAAGCATTATGATGGTTCAAAAATTGCATTTATATAATTCTTTAATAACACACAATAGTCCCAATGTTGGAAGAGGATTATATTTGGAAAAGTAATAACTGAATGATCCTAAGATCTTGAACAAATTATTTAAGAAATAACAAAGCTTAGAAATTTGGAGATAATTTGGCTGATAATCTCTCTTAATTGACTATCTAGATGGAACATTAATTACTTTTGACAAAAAGAAATATTAACAATAATGAATCAGTTTTAGACTAAATTATCTTTAATAACTAAACAATAAGTTCAAATACTTACAAATATATTATGGTTTCTAGTGGGCAAATAGTATCAGCTTATAAATTTTATGATGAAATTACTTAAAATTTTATCAACTAAAATTTTAGCTTAAGGATCATCCCTTAGAACAAATAATATAATAGAATTAAAAACTTGACTGGATCTTAGTGTCTTATAAGAAGTCGTTAAATCATTGATTCAAAATCAGGAAAATATAATTCAAGCCTAATAAATTTGAAGAGTGTCCTTTTCAATGAAACTACATGGATTACAATTTAGATTCCCTTATTGTGTATTTCAATCCAGATTTGAATCTTAACGGATATTTACAATTAGAAATATCATGCAATTCAGTATCAATTGGTTTGTACTCACAAGATACTCCATATTACTTCACTTCTTTTCAGACTAACTATTCTCTAATATTTGATATTTAAAAATTCCCATGCTAGAGAGGAGAGTATAAAAACATGATGGCACTTGTGTTGTATGTGATGCTCAAATTGATTAGTATAATATTGTGGCAGGCGAGTAATGCTAAATAAAGAACCAATTAATAATAGATGAAGTGAATGCAGCAAGAGTCAAATTGAAACCATTTTATTGGAGACCTTATGAATACAGTCATATTATTGAGTACTTTTAATTTTTATGAATACTTATTTCTCCCCTGAGTAGTAACAACCGAGATTTAAAATCTTTCATAACACCAATACTAGAAATCCAACAATCCAATTATCATAAAAAGACATAATCCAATCTTAAAACATGTAGCTGAAAATTAAAGATAAACTAGAAAAATTAATGAATTATTCATATAACTCAATTTTTGTAGAAATTAAAATAGTAGTATAAAATAAAATTATTCTAAATTATTTAAAAATCACTTAATGCAAATGTTGAAATGAATCCTCAATAGCATATATTATCTCAAATACAATCAATTTGAAATCTGCACAAAGTCCTATCTTCTATTTAACAAAAATGCATATAATACTTTTTGCGATTTTGCAGTATATAAATTAAAGTAAGAGTAATAGAAATTCATTATTAAAAATAATGAATTGCACTTATCATATCAAAAGTCCAATATCTTTGATATGTATAGCTCCTCATAAGTGCTTATGCTAAAGGAAACTTTGTGTTGAATGCCTTTATGAACATGAAGTGGATATGAAAAAACATGCAATTCCGATTACTAAATTTCAAGAAATGGCTATGAAGAAATTAAAAGACTTCAACCTTAATGATACAACTGAGTTAACCAAATAGAGAGTGCCTTTAAAGCCTTGCTCACTCATACTGAATAAATGATGAAGAAAATTTGGGAAGAATTGTCACAATCTATCAAATAAGTATACGATTAGATTGAAAAGGAAAACTAATCCTACTTAAACCTCATTAATGAAGACACCAATTTAGCTGAATCCTCCTTCACTGATATAGAAAAATTAGTCAACATTGTAGAAGGAACAACTTTAATAGATTGGAATGCTTCGAATAATTCTTATATGAAGGAGTTAAATAAGACCAAGAGCTGGTGGGACCAAAATATAAAAGCTTTTATTGAAAAGTCTAACTAAGGAATCCAATAGATCCAATCATTAATTAAGTAAGTATTTATTTATTATTGTAGAATTTCACCTAACCAAGAAGAAGAATCAAAAGAAGTATATTAAATGAAGGAAGATCTTTATGAGATGCTAATCTACATCCAGGATATGGATGAAACTCTCTATTAGAAGATTCTTGATATACTTAGAAAAGAGAAAGTTTCAGACATTATTGGATTCCTGTCAATAACAAACAATCATCAGTTTTATGAATCTTTAAACTATAAGTAAGAGAAGATAAAGGAGATCAAGAAGTAAGTAAAGAAAATAACTAATGTCTTGATAAATCTTTAGGATCATCAATATAATAAAGATGACTATTCTCAAGAGTAATATGAATAGGAAAGATAGAATCTGATCAAGAGATTGAAAGATAACAAAGGGATAACAGATTTTATCAAATTTTTAGTGCGACTAGCAGGCATAGATGTAAAATTTATTCAATATGGATCAAATGGGCTTAGTTTATTAGTGGCGATGAAGATTGATCTTAGAAACCAATCATTTGAAAATATCAGGATCAAGAATACTTCTTTAATTGGAGGTAATTTTGTACGAAGCAACTTGAGTGAATCATAGTTTGAAAATATTGAAATCAGTGGATTGAATTTGAATGGTGCTTAATTATTCAATTGTAAATGGAAGAACATTAAGATCCATGAATTGAATAAATTCAATGGTCATGATGGACCTGTTTCATCAGTTTGTTTCTCTCCTGATGGAAAAACTTTAGCATCTGCAGGTGGTAGTATTTATAGAGATGGTGATTGTACTATCCGTCTTTGGGATGTCAAAACAGGAAAATAAAAAGCCTAATTAGATGGTCATGATAATGAAATTATGTCAGTCTGTTTCTCTCCTGATGGAAATACATTAGCTTTTGGTAGTTGGGATTATTCTATCCGTCTATAGGATGTCAAAACAGGATAATAAAAAGCCAAATTAGATGGTCATGATAATGAAATTATGTCAGTCTGTTTCTCTCCTGATGGAAATACATTAGCTTCTGGTAGTAGTGATAACTCTATCCGCCTCTAGGATGTAAAGACAGGTTAAGAAATTAAATCCTCTGATAAAAACTACAAAGATATTCTTGCATTATTTAAGACTCCACTCCAATAACATAGCCATATTTCCGAAGGTAGTATTTATTCCCTATCATATTGTTAGCCTCCAATTACATCACTACACTACTTATATTTCAAGAAGCAATATTTCAAGCTAAAGGAGCTTTAATTCTGAAAGGAGAGTTTATAAATCAATCCGGTATAGATTTAAAGACTTTGTTTAAATAAAAAGGAAGTTGCTTTTTGGAAAATATAAAAATTTTCAACTAAAAGAAAAAAAAGATTGTATTGTATAATGAAAATTATTGAACATTATTTGTTTTCAGGATTTTTTATAGTAATTCTAGGTTTATTCAATCTGTTATTTTTTTTAGTTTTGTGTAAACTTCATACTCATCTTGCCTCATAATTTTTTTTATATAACAGGTTGCCATACTGTTTCGACTATTTAATTTTAGTTTTTCATCTAGTATATTAAATAGTGAAACATATACAATTTTATAAAATCATATAACATTTTAAGAGAAGTTAACTTAATTTATTTTTATTTATAAAATTGATTGGTATTAATAGTTTTATAATAGTAAAGGATAGATTTAATAACAAATATTCTAAAACAAAAAATATGTCAAGAATTTAAGCATTAAAGTTAATACTACTATAATAAAGTTAAAACAATTAGATTGGATGATTTCTTATTGAAAGTAACATACCAATCACCTTTGATTCTTATTCTTCAATTAATATAAATCACTGAGTTTAAGAACACAGCGAAATTAATTAATTTATATACAAAAAATATTCCTGAACACTTCTTAAATTATTAAAAACTTTATTCTTAAGATAAACTTATCAACTAATTAAATTTTAAATTTAAATTAATTCACTAAGAAATTACCCAAAAATTATGGATAGTGTTAAAATATTTTAATTTTTTAACTACAAAAAATCAAAGATCTATGTATGTTTATGTTGATGATTACAAAATTATAATTAATCAATTATTCAATAACTTTAATAATTAAGGTGAAGAGAATTTTATTTTAAAAACATGTTTCAGTGACATTCAGATTTAATTATTAATTTTGAGAATTTCTCAGTAAATCCATTGATTATTAAGGTTTCTCCATTTTCGCTATGAATTTGAGTTGCTTTACAATTAAGGTTATTTCCTACTGATTTGAATGAGATTACTTAAGAATATCATCTTCACATCATTCTCTACTTTAAACTATTAAGATCCCTTTTAAACAAGGGCAGCCAATACCACATTGGAGGCTAAAGATAAGAGAATATAAGTATTCTGGAAAATAATAGAGAAACCATTACTATTAATCTGAGTAATAATTCGAAATAGTGTAAGCCTATAATAATAATGGGATTTTCAAAATTTATGAAAATATCTTTCTAAAATTCTCATAGTAATAGAAGATTTTTAATTACATTAATATTTAAGTGCATTTTTTTGATATTCTCTTAAGAAAAAACACATTATGACAAATCAAAATTAGACAGAGTTCAGAACGTAGTGAATTTGAAGGAAAATCAATTAATCATAGAACTCAATTTTTGTAGAAATTAAATTATTTATATAAAAATTAATTATTCCATATTATTTAAGAAGAAACTCATGCATATGTTGAAATGATTTCTTAATAGCTTAATTCACCTAGTATATTATCAATTTGAAATCTGCACAAAGTCAGAACTTCTATTTTACTGAAATGCACAAGATACTTTTATCAATTTTGCAGTATATCACTTAAAGTTAGAGTAATAGAAATTCAATATTAAAAATAAAAAAAATGTAATGCACTTTTTAAGAGAAGGAAGCTCTAGGTAGCTTCTTAAGTAAAATAAAAGATGTAGATATACAAATCTTTGGGGCCATATTAGAAATATTAAGAAAGGAAAAATTTTAAGACTGCCTTGGATTTCTATTAGATATTGAGAATTAGAGATAATTAGAATCATATATCTTACAAAAAGGAGAAAAAATCACTCAAGCTGATAAACAATAGAAATTGTCTGTTGTTAGAAATGATATCAAATAAATCACAGAAGTCTTAAGAAAATTAAAAGATGATGATTTCAATAACCAAGACTTTTCTTCTGAAGAAAATGAAGAAATTACATTAACTCTAATTAAAATCATCAAGGATAATAGGAAGATCATTGAATTTCTCTAATTTTTAGTTCAACTCACATCCATTGATGAAAAGTTAGTATAATGTGGGTCTAATTCATTACATGTACTAGTTTAGATGAAGGTGGACCTTAGAAACAAAAATTTTGAAAATATTAAAATCTAAAATACTTCCCTATTAAGAGCTAATTTTGTTAGGTGTAATTTAAGTGGATCCTAATTTAATAATGTCAACATAAGTGGATTAAATCTGAATGGAGCATTATTATTTAAATGTAAATGGAAACACTTAAGAATCCATGAATTGAATAAATTGGATGGTCATAGTAGTTAAGTGAATTCAGTCTGTTTCTCACCTGATGGATAGACATTAGCTTCTGGTAGTGATGATAAGTCTATCAGTTTATGGGATGTCAAAACAGGATAATAAAAAGCCAAATTAGATGGACATACTAGAGAAATTATGTCAGTCTGTTTCTCTCCTAATGGAACTATATTAGCATCTTGTAGTCATGATAACTCTATCTGTATATGGAATGTTAAGACCAAGAAAAAAATACACAAATTGGTTGGTCATTAAAATACTGTCAACTCAGTCTGTTTCTCTCCTGATGAAAATACATTAGCTTCTTGTAGTAGAGATAACTCTATCTGTCTTTGGAATGTCAAAACAGGATAATAAAAAGCCAAATTAGAGGGTCATAATAATTATGTTAGATCAGTCTGTTTCTCTCTTGATGGAAATACATTAGCTTCTGGTAGTTATGATGAGTCTATCCGTCTTTGGGATGTCAAAACAGGATAATAAAAAGCCAAATTAGATGGTCATAGTGGATATGTCTAGTCTATCTGTTTCTCTCCTGATGGAAATACATTAGCTTCTGGTGGTGATGATAAGTCTATTCGTTTATGGGAGACTAAAACAGGATAATAAAAAGCAAAATTAGATGGTCATGAGCATTGGGTAATGTCAGTCTGTTTCTCTCCTGATGGAAATACATTAGCTTCTGGTAGTTATGATAAGTCTATCCGTCTATGGGATGTCTAAACAGAACAATAAAAAGCTAAATTAGATGGTCATGAGCATTATGTTATGTCAGTCTGTTTCTCTCCTGATGGAAATGCATTAGCTTCTGGTAGTGTAGATAACTCCATCCGTCTATGGGATGTCAAAATAGGATAATAAAAAGCCAAATTCGATGGTCATAGTAATTTAGTTATGTCAGTCTGTTTCTCTCCTGATGGAAATACATTAGCTTCCGGCAGTTTAGATAACTCTATCCGTTTATGGGATGTCAAAACAGGATAATAAAAAGGCAAATTAGATGGTCTGTGTATTTCAGTTTGGTCAGTCTGTTACTCTCCTGATGGAAATACATTAGCTTCTGGTAGTTAAGATAAGTCTATCCGTCTATGGGATGTCAAAACAGGATAATAAAAAGCCAAATTAGATGGTCATAGTGAT